AGTTTCTGTCCAGATTGCCTGAGTGAATGTCTGGAGTTGTAGGCACCTCGGAATGATTGTGTTAAGCTAGCACTAAGTCCCTCCCCCGTCCCCCTTTACTCTTTTCTTTACAATCAGGGTTTCAAATAAATGTTGGTTGTACGGCAATGAAGCATCGGTGTCGAACACTGATGTCATCCTGTCGATGATGATGATGATGATAAAATATTTCCGATATTTAACTGAATCATCCTGTCGATGATGATGATGATGATAAAATATTTCCGATGTCTATTTAACTGAATCAATTGAAGGTGTGGCGGCTCCTCAAGATGAGACTCACAGTCGATTGATCCTCCTGGGGGCGAAACGGCCCTACCAGAACAACTCAGTGAAGTTCCAGAGAATGCTCTGAAGTTTAACCACATAATTTTCGAAACCGTGAAGCCTGATCGATATTCTCCTGATTGATGCACTGAAATTGTTGAAAGAATAAAGCAGTCCTCATCGTCTCTTCCTGGCTGAATCATTCGAGTGCACAACTGGATGGGATACTGCCAGGTTGCCTAAGCCTAAACAGGGGAATTCGAGAGGCAGAGATGGGGTTCGAACCACAAGCATTCCGGTCAGTAAATTTGCGCTCTAACCACCTGAGCCATCTCGCACATGTCATCAGCACACGCACCCACACCACATTAGCTGGATGCTATCAACCGCAAACCGGCTGTGGGCTAATTTGGACGATGCAGTAATCAGCTACCGGTGGAGAGCATCAAATCATGATCATTGTTCAACCGTTCATCAGTAGTACCAACACCAGACGGGGAAACTCGTGCTTTGCTACCATTCAATCATACCAATGTATTTGAATAAAGCCTTCTAATAGAAAGAAAGATGGGGCAAGGTGGAGGACAAAGGGCTAACTTACAATAAGCATCCGAGGTGCGCACAATTTCGACACCATCGGAAATCCGGATCGAAATTGACAGAACGACCACCACTGGCATCGGTTAGCCGCCATTTTATTCACTGTCTACAGCCGAGAACACAGAGGGTCACGTGGACCCCACAGTAGAAAGCCAACAGCACTAGAACTTTTCATAACATCTTTAAATCCACTCTGTCATGTCAAATTCTGTCCGTCTCAGGATTTTCGCCACTCCGAATTGGACACGAAAAACGGCGCTCGTTCCGGCTAGCAGTAACCAGGCATGCATAACACATGGCCCAGCCACCTTCTACTGCTTGTAATCCTGGATGCGTTCATTGAGTGAAGTACCGCCTGCTTCACCAAAAAAAACCATCTCCTGATCATCCCATTGTGAATTCGTCGGTTCTAGCGAACTCCAGCTATAGTTCTGACGTAATGGTGAAGACGCAGCCTGAAGATACCTCAGATCATAGTGGTCAAGGCAACCCAAACAGCAGTCTGATACACGCGTGTTTTCGACCCAGTGAAATATGCCACTGACACCGCAGTTGAAGCAAACTGGCGGAGGACTTTGAGATTCATGCGCTGATTTCATCTGCCGCACATCAGAGCTAGCGACTTCCAATGTCGCTCCTTAAGTCCTTAAAGGCATGTTCAAAGACTGTACTCCCCGCAGTAAAACTTTGCACCCTGTGGGCGCAAAGAACATGTGAAAAGACAGCAGTATTTCTGTTTGCACATCCTGCTCTTTTTCAGCAGTGAGAACAACGCCCTCTTCATACTCCTGGTCGGCAAGGTTCTCGCTCGAAGAGATCTGAACAGCGACCACAAGTGTTTGAAGAAAATAATGCATAACATTCACGAGCTTTTTGGGCATACCGTGTTGAAAAGGACCAGCGAGTCAACAGAGTAGACTACACTGTTGAGGGCCAGTAACATCGAGCGTGTAGGACGCCTATACGTATGTCGCTGCTCTAGCATTTGACAGAGAGTGAAGATGTAGTCTACACAGCCCCTTTCCGGCCTCAATTCTGCTTGCTTTCCAGGGGTTCCGACCTTACGTATCATCTTAAGATGATGTAAAATAAGAGGTCCAAACAGCCTGGTCACAATGGAAGTCAGGCTAATTCCTCTGTGACTGCCAACGGAAGGAAGGAGGCATGAGGGCTGGGATACTGCCAGGTTGCCCAGGCCTAAACGAGAGCAGTCGAGATGCTGAGATTGGGTGCGAACCACGGACCTTCCGGTCCTTAAGCTAATGCCTTAACTACTGAGCTATCTCGAGCTCTCTGTGATTGCGACAATCACTTGAAGCACCCATTTTGAAGATGGGCACCATTGTCGACTCATTATAGTTAGTTGGGAGAAAATAAGTCAGACAAGCACCTGCTGAGGAATGTACCTCCATCAAAATGGCGAGATGAGGTATGCACATCTTAAACGCCCCTGAAACCTAAACGAGAAGCGGCATTGAGAGGGCGGGTGATCCGAGTCTTAATAGGTGGCCCACAATGGACAACAGTCCGTAACTGACCCATGCCACCTGTAGCTAATGCTAATGCGGTTTATCTGTATTGGAGGTTGACTCGTATACGGGGCAGACCATGTGGCCAAGCGCTCTGGCCGATTCAGAAGTTAGCACTGAACAGAAATGGTCTGTGGTCAGCAGAAGGCGTTCACCGTTGTCCGTGCGTTTCGATTCGTCTTAGACGATCACTCAACTGAGCACCAGCGAGATGGCTCAGTGGTTAGAGTGCGAATTTTCTGACCGGAAGGTCCGTGGTTCAAACCAGACCTCTGCCTCTCGACTTCCCGTCTAGGCTTGGGCAACTTGGCGGTATCCCAGCCCTCGTATTTCCTTCGGGTGACATGGCAGTTAAGCACCAAAGGGTGCTACAGTTGAAAAATGTTTTTCTTCAAACTAAACGATTCCTGGGAACCGACATCAGTTCTCAGCTAGGAGTGCTTCGAAGTCCTATCATCGCGATCGCGACGACATTCACAACATTTAGATATCAACAGACATGCAGATCCTGCCTGAAACCACAGTAAAACTAACGATTACTGGACGACCGTCAAGGCGAACAACACGCATGAAGGACCGGCAGTCGAAATAAACGTACCTGAACATAAGGCAATTGATTATGCAGACAAGTATCGACGTAACGACGATCCCTTCCATTAGCGTTCCGGTGTGAACGCGTGTGCATGAGCATTTGTACACCATGTACGCATCGGTCTAGACCGGTGCTCGCAATTGCGAGCACATCACCGACATTCTGTTCATATTTCACCACCAGAATCAGAATCATATATTTGGAGCAAAAGAAAAAATTCTGTGTACACTCCATCGACAGAAAAAATGCGAATATCATTCCATATACGCCCTTGGTCCGCTAGTCGAGTAGCTGACTTTCGGGACCAGAGCGGAGGAGATATCCTCACAGAAGCATAGATCAGAAAAATGTTCATCCAAATTACTTTTGAAAATTTGAACTGTTTCTGACTGAACGACATTTGCCGGTAAACGATTCCAAAATGACACAACGCGGCGAGAGAAACTGTACCCATGAGGCGCATTGTCCATGCGTGTGTGTTCCCGTTGGAATTCTCACAGTTTGGACTTGAATTTCACGACCGGGAAAATACTGGAAAATCTGTCTGGTTATCTTGCGTTCATTCAAGGATACATTCTGTGAAACTACAAGACCTGCTTGCTTGACAACAGTCCACTGTAGGATGTAGTTGGCTTCTGCATGATAGGCGCCGGTCTTACCGTGGTGGATATATACACCACAGTAACTGTACAAGCCGCGTTTTGCATGACATCGTAGACACCCGGACCGCACACGAAACGAGCGAGGAATGATTACTTGTGGCTGCCCACCGGCTTTTATACCATGACAATATAGGGCTCCTATGGCCTTGAGAAACCGGTAGCCCGGTTTAGACCGCAAGACTCGCTGATGCAATTCGTCGACGCATGTGCGCAGCACCCACCGATCAAGATGGAATTGGGCCAATCAGAATAGGGTATTTGAGTTCTGCGATTTTGTTCCCGTTCCCTGGATTGTGGCTTGGCTTTGGGGATTTTTGTGATTGCTCTGTAGATATGGCTTTCGTAATCTTTGTTCGCCTCGATTAAAAGCCACTTAATGGACTGTAGCTGGAGGAAGGGTAAGCGAAAGGGACCAATATAGGGGTTGCACTTCACAACCATTGATAGACAGTTGAAGCACAAAACCCAAACCAGTTCAGGATGGCGGCTCCAGGTAATCTTAATACGCCGATGCGCGGTATCAGGACGAAGTCATTTGCGTTTCCGTATTCTACGGGTGTCCGCTTGATTGCTGAATTCATTTCGATGTGGGTTCCGACCAGATTGATTTCCTAACAAACCATGGACGTCATATGACGTCCATGGTTTGTAAGGTGTAATATGCACGCTATGGAAACATGAGGGGACAGTGATTCTCTGAAGGCAGGTGTTCACGACAATTTCTGTGGATGGAAAACAAATAGAGCTAATGAGCCAAGGCCCAGTAAGCAAGGTTGTACATCACCAATACTTACATATGATTCAATCAAAATGACAGACACCGTATACCACAAAGGTTACCAGTTGAACACTCAAAGTGCTCCATCCGTAGTGCATATGATGGAACCATGGAGCTAACGCGATGCTGAACCTCTCCAAGGAGCTCAAACTGACTTATATTTACTGCCTCGCCAGCTGTACCGGCCCGGATCTCTTAGGCCTAGATTGGATTAAGTGGATAAAACTGTCGGTGCAGCCACTCAATTTCGTTTGCAGAAAAAAGATACTTCAGATCGTGACGACATGTACATATGCATACCTCATCCTAAAAACTTTGCTGTTGGTCACGCATCACGGCCTGCTACACAGGATCAGGGCTTTTGCCCAGGCTTCCCGGATCGGGTTTCCCTAGCAGCACACAGTCAAACAAACCGAGTTTTCAGGTTATATGACGGTTATATAACCGTCTATTGACCACTTTTATGGGTAAAAGGTGGTTTTTTGCATCATCACAACTTCATTAAAACGGCGTTTTTACGGTTATTGCAATAACCGGAAAACCGTCCATAAACGGTTAAATAGCCGTCCGGCATCTTCCATTCACCCGAAGGTTACAAGTGAGAGACGGCGTAGTACCGGTCTGCAAGGTCTCTGCGCACGGCAGTAAGCTTGCCCGTGCCAGGACTCACATCTTAAAGCACCTAAAAGCGCGTTGAACTGGGTACTAGGTGCAGTATGAACAACCGTCGGAGGAAGTCTTTTCCGCACACCAACTACCCAAAATGGGAAGTAAATGCCTAGTGCAAATGTGTGCTCTGATCCTGAAAATCTGCTAACCATGTCATCGTCAACGGTGGCCAAACTTTGTTCAAACAAGGTATGAGTAAGTATCAGGTCTCCTCGGAAGCGACCAAACTCCAAAGGAAAGAGGTCAAGTACAGCGAAATGCATTTCATGGTCAACGGATTTAAGACTGGCAACAATTTTCGTAGCAGCTCGTTGGACACGCTCACTGAGGGTTACGTCCTTCGTGCGTCCTGAGTAGACAACTTGGTTGGCATATTCAAGAAGCGGTTCGACATAGGCCCCATAGAGTATTTGGAAGTCCATGCGGTAATACGGGAGAAGGTGCGCCGAATCATCTGTAGAACGACGAATGCCTTTCGACCCCATTTCTCATGGCGCAGTGAGAAGGCCGTGGTTGAAGAGAGACAGATACCCAAATCCTTTTAGACATCTATCCTCTTGATGTCTTGTGGTCCTTTCTCACCACGCATGACAGGCATTCACTGAGTCCCCTCTGAATGACATGGACACATTTTTCTTCATTCAGAGGAAAGTGTCAGTCCAACCACCACTTCTTTGCAGCGTCTACATATACTTGGAGGGCACTGACATTTGAACTCCAGGATTTCAAGTCGTGTGCAAAAAGTAGACATGGACTTAGCTGAACGTCTGGAAGGTCGTTGACGTAGGTCAGGAACAAAAGTGGTCCCGAAACAGAACCTTGAGGAACTTCAATGGAGACCGGCGCTGGAGTAGAATAAGGAATGTTCTGTCTGATAAGAACACCTTAATTCAGCGTAGAATTTCCCCTCAAATCCCACAAGGCTTGAGTTTGTGGAGCAGCGGGACGTGTGGGACTCGATCGAATGCGTTTGAGAAGTCGAAAAATATGGCATCTGATAGGAGTCCGTCGTCCTTAGCTTGGCTGAAGCTGTCCATGAATACGAGCATGTTCGTCATCCACGAACGGTTTCAGAGGAATCTGTGTTGAACTGAGAATATCAAGTCGGGAGTGCACGTGATAAGGCAATTCTCTATCCCATGACTTTCGAAACTAGTACCCGTTTCATCTCTGTCCGTCTTGACGACGGTGGCCGACAGCCCGCGACGCTGAACCCAGTGGTCTCCACCTATCTATATACAATCCCATAATCAGCCAGTGTTCTGCTGCTGTCCGGAAAGTCGGGTTCGATGGACCGGGGGAAGGACCTCAGACCATAGAGACCTAATGCGGGATATCATGAACGCTGTCAGTGTGTGTGCCGGGTCGAATACTACCCCACGTAATGTAAGTCGGTTCTTATGTGAGGGCGCATCAAACGAATCATCAGGCAGCAGATTGTGTCCCCACAGTGGAACCATGTCCTATGGCACGCCGGACAACCTTGACATACCAGAGCAGTCTGTGCCAGACGTCAGATCAACATTCCCACTACCTCGAAGACGAAACGACAAGGCAAATAGAAAATGCGGCCGGATGAACAGCACCTTTAAAGGGGGCGTGCGGGTGCGAGCCGCTCGAAATAACATAACATTCTGTCCAATGATGTGTTGCGAACCAGCCAAAAACTAAAAGAAGGCACCCTGATTAGGAAGAATGTAAACCAATCAGAATGGATTGTTTTAGCCCAGTGCTTCTCGTCTCGTCACGAAGATTCTAGCTCTAGTATGTGTACTATGGAAGCACCAGGGGACGGTGACTCTCCGAAGGGACGGAGTCATCACAACTTCTGTGGGTGGAAAGCTGATGAGCTGAAGCCCAGTCAACAAGGTGTCACATCACCAATAGTCACCTATAAATCAACCCAAATAACAGGAATGTATCATACATTACTTGAACTGGAAGACAGTTGTTTTCACTCTATAAATACGACTTCCGTACTATAGTTGGCAGATATTCATAACACCCCTTCACTTAAGAAGGGCCGAATTTTCAGTGCCAGTATTTTAAATGCTTCGATGAGGTCAGCTGTTAGTCATTTCCTTCGTTAGGAGGTCAGGTTCAGGTTTCTGGGATTGTCCTTTTAAGGAAGCCCTCGGAGGTTAACAAGCCATCCGATATGCCGGTGCTGACTGCACAGCAGCAGTCTGATGTCTTCGGAGCTAGGGCTTCGAACGTCTATGCACTATTCAATATCGGGCATAACACTGAATCACGTTGGATATTTTCGGGATAGTCGCGCTGGTTGGCTCTCTTGGGAAGCGCCCCGAGGCATCGCCATCTGGAGACCTCCAGTATGAGTTCCGAAGTAGAATTTATCAAGTGCTTCGTGGCCCTGCATTGGAAGTTGCTTCCTTCAGGTTGCATGACCGCTAGGCACTGAAAAGATGTTACAACTGAGCGACTAGTTTTTAATTTACTTAAATTGGAAGTTGCCAATCAGCACGCCTACAAATATATAGCAAGGATTATCAACATGGTTTACGTAGAGAAAAAGCAGTACGGTCTCCAACACTTGACGCCTGTGTAACTCCACCGAATGCCACCCACAACCTTGATCTGGAAATCCTCGCTAGTACGAAGTGCTATCTTTTCAACTTTCACGCCTCGCGTGATATCAAGGCCTCAAAGCATTCGTCTAGGCCAACAGCGGCCCGTGGTTCGAAGCCGACCTCTGCATATCGACTTGCTCTGTGTACACTCGGGCAACCTGGCAGTATCCCAGCCCTCGTGCTTCATTCGGGTGGCATGGCATCTAGGCCAGGAGGCAGAGGGGGTTGAGATGCACGATAGACTCAGTCCTTTTGTCGTGATCAAGTCGTCATCATCAACGGTAATAACCGCGTACCTACCGTAAAGTTCCACAGTTTCGTTCCTCGATGATTTGGGGAGGTCGGGCAGATAGCTGCGCATCGGAGGCGGTAGCTGATGAATTTGATACGTAAATGCATGGTTGTCAGTGGGGTTTTCATTGGAAAGATTGAGAGGGAAATAGCCTAAATGCACGGGCTCCACTGAAAAAATCGTTCGTCTGTAGCACCCTTTCGGTACCTAACTGCCATGTCACGATTTTTTTAACGATTTTTTGCCATATCACCAAAAGGAATCACGAGGGCTTGGGTACTGCCAGGTTTCTCAAGTCTAGATAGGGGTTGGGTTCGAACTACAGACATTCCGGTCGGTATATTCGCGCCCTAACTAATGAGCCTTTTCGCACCATTGAGGGCACGACATGGCCATGTCTGACAATGTCTCTAGCCATTGATGTGTTCCGTTTCGGGCTCCCCATCCAGGGAGACAGCAATTACCAGCGCAACTGTGTTATCTGATAATAACCTTATTACTTTACTGCCAACTCACTTTTTGACTCGTTTCCACCCTTCACATCGTTGTGCGAGAGGGGCTGTTCGAGGAATTCGATCGACCAGCATACGGAGCACGTGCTCCACATTTGGCATTTGTAGGGGTGAACCCTTCGGACACCGCTCTCCTAAGAAGCTCTTCTGTCACGAAGAGACTTGACCTTACCGTGGTGTGACGGTTTGTGTGCCTCCGCGACCCATTGCGCTTTGCTGCGTGGTGTCCGTGCGCACAGATTCTCCCATACCAGGTTGGTGAATGGTTAGTGGTCTGGCCAATAGTCTCCTGACTCCCCAGGTTAGGGGTCAGAACATGTGTGACGACTCATTCTATAGAAATGGTAATGTACTTTCATTTCCCGCTGACTTGCGGCCAGGTTTTTGGGTCAAAGGCTTTGGTCGAGGACCTCAGTCGTCTTCCCGCGTCTCGAATTTTCCTGTCTAGGCTTGGACCACCTTGAAGTATCTCAGCCCTTGTGCTGCCTCGGGCGGCATGGCACTTATGCACCGAAAGGGCGCTACAGTTGAACGGTTCCTGTCTGGGTCTGGGCGCCCTGGCAGTATCCCAGCCCACGTACAACCATGATGCTTACAACTACCAGTAACCTCATGCCACATCGGCCGTTATGTGGTGTCACTAGTCGCGTGGCCTTACTTGCTGCATACAACAGGGGAGAGGGGGTTAAGCGAGACATGGCACTGCTGGCGCCTCCCCTCTTACATTCACGCATTCCATTTACTATCCTACTTGACTCCAATTTGAATACTCTCGGTGGCTCTCAGCACCAGGGCTCACAGCTCTGTGCACCATGCGTCACAGCTGCAACCGCTGTGCATCCGATTTCAGCAAAGCGCACATAACTCGATGAGCATTGAGGAGCTAGTAGACTTAGAAGTCAAAATAATATCAAAACCGGATAATGTCGGATATCGCAAGCCACAGAGAATGGGTATCCAGAGCACTTCTCAATGCCCTGGCTTTGATAGAGGCCCGTCAACAGATTCCTCCTGACCACAACTCAACAAGACGCATCATCCGACATCATGTGCAAATGAGTGTCCGTGCAAACCGAGAAACTTAGTGGGTCCCAATGGCTGAACAAATGGAAGGTACAGAAACTGCTGGAAACGTACGCATGTTGTTCCGCTTGGTTCGTTCGACCGGTTCTCGGAAGCCTCTTATCAGCCAAAGCATCGGGGACCAAAATGGCACTCTGGTATCCAGCAATTCAGTTGGCCAACTGCTACTCTCATTCCGGAATCCTTCAACAGAAAGGTGGACTGTCAATATGAGACGGACTTCAGCCTCAGAAGTGCCCGAGTGTATATCTCTGTTGAAGAGCCATCGTGCTGCTGTTCTTGACGACCTTCCATCTGCTCTGTTTAATGATGATGGATACCTCATTCAGTGCATCTCTAGTGTGTTTACATCTGTATGGGAGAAAAGACCGTTCCAAACAACTGTGTCGGTGACATTTCCCATTTTCAGAAAGGGTGAATCTAGTAATCACATAGGTGTTAGTTCTACTCTCACAGTAACAATTTTTCTGGGGTCACTGATTCTTCATCGTCTAGCGATGGCACGCGAATCCTTGACCAATGCGCATCAAACGGTACTTGGACCGGGTAGAGGCTGCGCCGACCACACCCTAGCTCCGTCATATGTACAGTCGACTCTTAATCTTGTTTTTTTTATTTCAAGGGTGCGTTTGATCCTGTCAGTCGGTCAGTGCTACACATGCTCAACAGAGTATGCACCAGGAGTTTATGACCATGATCCGGTCCCTACATTCACACGTATCTTGATACGTCAGAGTGCACGGTGAGCTCTCTAAAAGCTTCCCTTAAAAAATGGTGTCCTAGAAGGAGATCCTCTCTCTCCGTTAGTGTTCAACTTCGTCTGTGATGAAATAATGAAACGAACGCTAGAAGGTCCTCAAAACCCGGTTGTTTAGATCGTTGCTGGTGAGAGTGTTGTCGATCGGGGTACAAAGACGACGTCGTCTTCATCATTGAAAATGAAGGCGAGGCACAAGTCATTTTGAATAGACGGACCACCGATATGCCATCTTTCGGCAAACACCTTGCACCTACATGTGGTCTTTGAGCATCATCAGGGAAGATCATTGAGGGTTGTGGAGAATTTTACATACATTGGTAGTTGTATTATCTCTGACGGAAATGTGTCCGATAAAGTCAGTACAGGAATCCCAAGAGCCCTGCGTCACTTCTGGTGTCAAAAAGGCATATCTCTGGTTCCCAAGAGGCATCATCATCATCGGCAGCATGAAGTCAGTGTTCAACATCGGTGCTTCACTGCCGTGCAACCATGATTTATATGAAAGCATTATTATGAAGAAAATAGTAAAGGTGGACGGGGAAGGGACTTAGTGCTACCTTACTACAACCATTCCGAGGTGCCTACACCTCCAGACACTCATTCAGGCAATCTGGATAGAAACTGACAACAAGAACGCCACTGACATTGGTTGGTAACCATATTTTGCAGTATCTTCAACCAGACGCAGTGGGGATCACGCGGTCGCCATCCTGGAAGGTGATTAGCACTGACAGCAACCAAACTTTTCGTATTTTGTTTCGTACCCCTCTGCTAGGTCAAGGGTTGCGAGACACGGTCTCTGCGGACAAATGATGTAAGGCATCTTCATATTTTTGATCAGAGGATTTGTTGGTATCGGACGGCTTTAATGAATTCGTAACGAGGCAATTAAAAAAGGTGTTTCAGTTGCTAAACACCTCCAGCACAATCAACTGCGGTGGCTGAGTCATGTGGTACGAATGCCGAAACAGTGTCCACTGCTACTAATTTTGTTCTGTGTGCCTCCTTTAGAATAGCGTAAACCGCATGGTGGACAACGTATGGGTTGGCAAAGGGGTGTGAAAGAGATTACGAAGGGCTTGGGTGTTGTTGGTATGGTATGCCTTTCAGGATAGGGTCTTCGTAACCCCTCCTGCGCTTGGCTGTAGACATTGGGATTAATGGCGCCTGATCGATATCAGTGGCGTTCTTGCTTTCATTTTCTTTCCAGATTGTCCAGTTCAGCGCTTGGTTGTGCAGGCACCTCAAAATGCTTGCGATAGACCAGTATCAGATACCCTCTATCAGCCACTGTTTTATCTTCTTTTCACTGCAAGGCTTTGAATATGATTAGATAGGCTTTGTGGTTGTACGGCAGTGGAGCCTCCGTACCAACCCTGATGTTGTTGTCTCTGATGATGATATTCCACTGTGGCGTAGGGTCTCTCGAGTGAACGTTTTCGAATGGGGCGGCGTCTCTGTTGTTCTGAGCGGGCGCGGTCGTATCTGTCGCAAGTGTCGGTTCAGGGTCGAGACCGACACTCTGACCTTAGTCAGTTTACTACGCATGATATGTCAGCAGACGAGGCAGATTTTTTCGATAAGTATCAGGTGCAAACCTAAACGAATTAAGGCATGATCACTTCTCCTGAGGGGCGCTTGTATGCGCCTGATAATGTTATCACCAATGCACTTCAAGTTCACTAAATCCAAAAAAGATGCAGTCTACTGCTCTTCCGCAACTGGTGCTTTCTCAAAGTGCTGGAATAAGGCTTTGCCCATTGGTTCTCAAGGAATTTTCAATTATTTTGTTTTCATACTATGCTGTCTTCAAGGTGGACTTAATAATGAACCCCATTGGCATATTACTTATTTCTGCCTGAGAACTACAATGTTGTCTACTTTGAATATCATCTTTATTTTAGGAAGAAAACGTACGCCGCAATAGTTTGGTTTGAACAGATGCCGTCTTCAGTGGACAGACGTCATAACTTTCCATACACACCAAATTACTGGTAATCGCTTGTGAATCATTTCTTGACCTCTTTCAACAACAGTGAAGAAAACGTTTACCTGTTGCTGGAAAAACTAATGAAACAATCTGATTCAGGAGAATTTCACGTCGTTTTCGTATCCAATTCCAACGCATCGGTACTCAGATATTTGTCAGTAATGTCTCTATTTGCTGTTTCTTCAGGTGGCCCTTTTTGGGCAACGCAAGGGAGATCCTTTTCACAATTATGTTATTGTGTGGGTGAGTTTACCAACACCGTCATTCATGGTTCCCAGCTCTCTAGGACTATCACGTATTCCTTATTCATTCCGTACACGATGAGCACTGGGTGTACGATTTTGATGCAATTTTGGAATTCCCGTCCTCGTTCGCGGATTACTGCGTCCATGGGTTGCTTGAAAATAAGAAACTTCCAGAATGCCTGAGGAGGTAAGTGGGAATCGCACTTTTTGGGGGCGCTTTTGGGTATACTACCAGACTGTACACATGAAAAATCGACGAGCGGAATTCCGTGAGTTGGGTCGACGCAAGCTGCCGAATCCAGAGCAGAATCGCATGGTATGGTTTCCTTCATTATGCTACAGATTCTTAGTGAATCATGCCATGCCGGTTATCTTGAACTTCCACGTCTGCTTCCTTCACCTTGCTATTCTTTACACCTCTTGTTGGTCAGAAATTACGCTGTAGGATCTACAAATCGGGCGTCTGTGTTCAGGTACACTGATAGCTATCCCGATGTCAGACTACCGCTACAACTGCTGTACACAGTTTCAACTGACCTATCTGTAGAATAATATAGCTTCAATATTATTTGTCTTAAGTGCTATGGTTGTTCTTGGGGTTCATTAAGAAGAACGTAATTGCAGCGCGGGGAGTCCGCGCGCGCTTGATAGTTGCAGGTTAAACAGATGTCTACTTGCTTGTGATTGTTTGTTCGATGCATATTTCCATAGTCTCTTGTAGTGTGCGCTCTATGTTAACGTCGAGGACGAATTGAACAATACATGCTACTCGTAAAAAACACTGATGAGTTTTGTAAAGATTTAGTCGTGTAAGTGAAGCTTGGATCTACCTATTGCATTGTGTTCAAAGGTTGACTTCCTAGCATCCCTCGCCTACGAGCAAAAGCTATCCTAAAAAAATGACCGCCGTTCGGGCACTTCGTCCTTCAGGAGGGTCAGTGTGCTTACTCGCTTCTAGGCGTCATTTTCATGTCAAGTTAACTGCAGAACAGTGAATTTTCACAGTCATATCCCGATCATTTTACGCATTTTCCATCTACCTACGCTGACCGATTCAGCTAAGCGCACAAGCGTGATTCTGGTTTACTTCCCAGTTTAACCGTCTCTCCTTATGAATAGACGTCACATTTTGTTATCTTAACGGAAACAGCTGGCTTTATTCCAAGGAATTCTCAGTTTATTAGTATAGGGCCATGGATTTTTATCAGATTGCAGAGAGCATTACCCGCTGTTCTTTGCATGCTTCACCGGTTGTTCGAATTTTTTCGCTCGTGATTGATCCTCTATCTGATTGGGACTTGGGGACTTGCTAACTAGGTAAACGGAGCCCAAGTTTGCCTTCAGTGAAAAGCTGTTGGTTGGCTGGAGGACCGTTCCTCAAACCCGTGTGTTCGTCTCCGATAGGAATTAGGCCGCAAAATTTATCACTCTAGGAGTACCTAACCAAGAAAATGCGCACCTCGTCTCTAACTTGTCGAGGTAACAAATGTTTGCTTAACCTGTCTTCGGTGAGAATTTATTTCATTGAGTGAAATTTCCAATCGGCCTTACTCTGTGTATCGATTCTGGTCATCAGATATTTTGTTAAGACCAGGAGTACCATCCCTTACCGAAATCGTTTACAGTCGGATTTTTCGGGAACCTACGGAGAAAGTGGTATTCTATAGGTCGGTCCCATTCTTCTATATCCACGAAAGGAAGAATGTTTTTTTTTTCAAATCGAAGCCAAGACACGGCAAATAACTATTGATTTTAATCAGCCCGAGAATGGCTTTGAATGCCCAGTGATCAGCGTCAATCCATATCTCTCTGATAACTCGGGCTTAGCGCGGATGAGATAGGCCAGAATTTGCAGTGACGTCGGTGAAATATCGAACACAAAGCACCTCCATAAAGCACGCTCTAACAAACAAAATGGTGTCAGCTCTCACTGACGTCAGTTGGATCGCACTTATCCACTTCGTTTGGTTCACAAGATAGAGCCAAAATGTCGCGGATGTGTACACGTATTGTGACATCACACACATGTTCATAGGAACTCCAGTCCAAAGTTTGACTAAATAAGTGAAGCGTCCACATCTGTTACAATGGGTTGAACAAAAGTTACAGTATTTCAAATTTCTTGGAAAGCCTATGCAACGCAAATGATCTCTCTTCGGGCTCACATGTATACGAAACTGGGTTGTCTGTGGACCTTCAGTAATCATCCCACACTACTTATATTGTACACTGTATAAAGTATGAATCAAAAATGACTGGCGGATAGGGTTGAGAATACGATTACTTGTTTGTTTTAGAGTATTTGCTACAGTAGTAACGTGTAGGACGGGGTAATATATGGCCCCAAAACACATTTTGACCATTTAGGATGATTCCTAAGTTGAAGTTCAGCCGAGTAACCTTTCCGTGTACGCTTTTTGCAACCTCGTAGAAATTGCGAGAACCTTAGTGTGGTTTGGGCATCGCAGTCTCCGGTGCGTGAACTTAAGTAGTATAACCGCGTTGCCATTGAGTTGAGCTATTTTACTTTACGGCAACTGTCTCCAAGAAGGGTCAGTGGGCTCTGAAAATATCCTGAATTGCTGCTCTCCATGAAGCGCACTCAAAAGTACGACCTGAGCTGGCTGATCAATATGTGACACTTGAGGAACAATTACTATCCCTGAGGCATTATGTACCACAATCTTGAAAGAAAAATCAGTCCTGTCGCCTGGATGTTGAAAAATGAGGGGAATTCCACGGGCTTGAAAGCCTACCCACCAAGTGCAGTTTGACATGACTTGTAGAAAGACAGCAAAGGTGCACATCTCCTATGGGATCCGATGCATGTTTCTGGAAAATCTAGGTGACTCGATTCTATGTCAGTAGTGTGATGACATTTGGGAATTTTTCAATCGAGGTTTCTTCCTGCAGTCTATGCGGAAGAACCCAGAAGCACTTCACAGTTGATCATCCTTGGGCAGTGAGCATCTCATGGATCTCAAAGGAACTTTGAACCCAATACCTTGTGGCTAATGGTTGAAGACTAAATCTTCCGTCTCAAGTGGCTGACCAGCGATTGGATGATTTGCTAGGAGGCTCAGCGAGATAGGCCCAATCATGCACGGACTTTCTGTGCACAGGAGATTACAATGGTGTGCATAAGTGCTTCTCCCCATCCCCCGAGGCTTGTGTGGATGCGTCGTTATTTGACCGGTTAAACGGATATGGTTTACTCTCTCATGTGGTCAGGGAAGGCGATTGTTAGTATGTCAGCCATGATAAGAGGGCGCACCAAGAGGTAGCTCGGGACGGATGATCCAGTTCGAAAGCTGAACCCGCAAGGCCGATGGAATATTTTGCCGCTACAGGCAAAAATAATCCATTGGTAACAATATGCGGCACGATAATCGTTTCAACCTAGCCAATAATAATAATAATCGTTCAGCTGTAGCGTCTTTTCGGTGCCTAGCTGCCATGTTACCCGAAGGAAGCACGAGGGCTGGGATACTGTCAGGTTGCCCAAGCCTAGACAGGGGAAGTCGAGAGGCAGAGGTCGGGTTCAAACCACGGACCTCCCGATGGCTCTAACCACTTGAGCTATCTCGCAAATGTGCACGTCTATTCAGATCAATTCACGGCACAAACACCAGAAATTCATTTTTTTCGTTTAATTGTCATCCTCCTAAAGGGACTCACTTTAGATAGGTTCGAACGCTTTGCATCTGTTCAGCATGCGGGCGGCGTAACTTACATCACATCCCAGTCGTCGTTTTCTAAGACTACTTTGAACTTGAAATTGTCACATTTGGCTGTCAACCGTTAACAAATCACCCTCCGGTGAGAATAAATTCACATAACAAGTGCTCTGCTCCGTGACATTTTAAACCAACCATTCATCGACCGTTTTTACGAATACTTGTTACTTAGCTCGACCCTTAGGTAGTCCGTATTCATGTATCTGTCATGGTTTTAGCAGCCTACTTTTTTAATACAGCTTCCCTTCTGGCGCACGACCAAGTGTGATGTGACGCGCCCGTTAGAGAGTATCCAACTCAGTGTGTGAGCCTTTGCAACCGTGCTGTGGAGGGGAGTTGTGGTTATCTCCTGCCGAGTGGCTGCAGTAGTCACTTGGTCGCTCGAACAAGTAACGCGAACGAAACGGTTCCGTCCGGGGTTATTACTGTTAGTATGGTTGTACGATTCATAGAGATTCAGATGCGAAATTTTGGAAGCCAATGCGTCTCTCAGTTGAGGAGAAACCCTGGCACCCATTGACCTTCATATGCGCTGGTACATACCGATTGAAACAGCATTTCTACGCTTCATCGACGAACCCACATGACTATCATCAATTTTCCTCAATTGGGTTTCGCTTCTTCGATAGGTTACCAATAACACATTGTGAATGAGAACCTTTCGCGAAATGGACCAAGTGGTTAGGGCGCGAATTTATGAACGGAAGTGACCTTCATATGCGCTGGTACATACCGATTGAAACAGCATTTCTACGCTTCATCGACGAACCCACATGACTATCATCAATTTTCCTCAATTGGGTTTCGCTTCTTCGATAGGTTACCAATAACACATTGTGAATGAGAACCTTTCGCGAAATGGACCAAGTGGTTAGGGCGCGAATTTACTGAACGGAAGGTCCGTGGTTCGAACCCGACCTCCGCCTCTTGACTTCCCTCTGTCTAGGCTTGGGCGACCTGGCAGTACCTTAGCCCTCGTGTGGCATGGCAGCTAGGCACCAAAAGGGTGTCACAGCTGAACGATCATCATTTATTATTATTTCGCTTACATAACCTCTGCTCAGGGAAAACTATGCTTCTCCTTATTCACAGCTGTTAATCATTGAGTCGGAAACTTACCAGAGTTCAAACGTAATTTATTTGTCGCCCATTTGCGTTTAACTTTCGCCAGCCGCTAGATACTAAAATAAATTGCCTATTTCTTGTCTGGCAACCTTCGTGTGTATACCAGCTCGCTTGCTTTCACACTGCACCGGCAAAAGAGCAAGGAAATTGCCAAAGCGTTCGTCTTAGCATATGCTCCCTCGGGTGTCAAGTAGAATGAACCGGACAAGCAACAACTTGGTCGTAATGCATCTCGTGAAATGGGTGCGCCAAATGACTGTTGACACGCTTGCCGTGTGAAGTGCCAAGTCAGCCTCAGACTACCGTACAAAACTAGACAGCGAATGCTTTGTACAGTGGAGATGGTGATGATCCACTGACACAAGACACAAACACTGTAGGGTATTCACCATTATTTAAGAAATATCACCATTCGGGTGCTCCAATGAATCACGCGACCGGAATTCCGTCTTTTGACCTTGTTGGATCCCAGCTGCCGAATAAGCTGTCTTTTCTAGGCCTACCGCATCGCATTTGAACCCTTGGAGAAAAATAAGATAAACTAATTAGTCTCTGTTGGGAGGCGGTCTCTCATGGGAGGAATCCCCCTCTAGGGACCGTTCGAGGAGGTATTGGGGTGCGTTCTAGTTTTGGATTCCCTTTTTTTGGTGTGTACCCTAGCTGTTCACCTCTGAAGACATCATCCTCAAAGGCGTTTGTAAAGCTCATTTACGAGAGGCCAACTCTCAGAAGAGACCTCTTCTCGTCAGGACGACTAATACACAATTATTCTCTTAAAAACTCACTTCTGGTCGTTTTTTGAACTGGCTTTTCCGGAAGGAATGATTGGGGTGAACTTGCTCCGTTCTTAAAGAGAGCCTGCAAGGACTCAATAAAGGTCATTCCTTTTGATATTTGTTCTCTCCTAGGGGAAACCTGGCCACTCAAATAACCACAATTGGTCTCATCTGAAAGATTATTTTTACAAAAAGAAAACCTTTGACATGTTTGTATCACACAGATGCAAATAATGTTATGAGACCCCTGTCACTGAAGGAGACAGCATCTTCGTTAAGACATCTGAATCGTGTCAAAACAAAGACCCATAGTTTGACCGCCTCTGGCTCGTTTCCACCCTTCAGGTGACTGTTCAAAAAGAACCCTTCGAGATAATACTTCGCACCACGAGGATACTGAGCATGGTCTTTGTTCAGAGTTGATGAAGTGATCCCCCGTGTGTTATCAATAGCAAAATTCGTCTCAGGGGACCACAGTGAAGTGATTTCAATTTGTGGGGTGCGCCCTTTTTGGTTAGAGGTCACTGTCTGATAGAGCTAGTTGAGGGGAATGTCTGCTATCCGCAGGTTGCGCTGATTAGGCGGTGTATTTCTTGTGCCAGAGATCTTCCTAGAGCCTCATTCACCCAGCCTTGCATTGGATAAAGACGACAGAGGAGTGGTCAGTCCATCATGAAAGTCCTTACAGGCTAGCTTAGTCGTCTTGATAACTTCCATATCTCGTAGGACGAGACAAGGAGCCAGTGGTTAGTGGCCATGACAGATGTGTCTGTCTTGCAACCAATGGCGATGTTGCTCCAAAGCTAAGTTCCTAGATCTCACTTCCTGTCATACTGCACGGTCAGATCGATTTGTCGTTAATGTACAGATTGCATCACCGTCTCCAACACATGGCTCTCATTCTCCTTATCCTCGGTAGATGAAGCCGGAGCCCTTTGGACTTTGATGTACTTTTTATGGGCTGAAAACCGATTGACTGACTGAAGGGATTTTGAAAGGAATCCTTCGCTCACATAACTATTCTCAGTTTACTCATGAAAGCTTCTCAGACCTCAATTTATATTACAACCTTGAAGTGTGCTATCAGATCATATGACAAGATGAAAAACCGGGTTCTGACTATTCCAATGTTGTATTTTCAAGTCCCAAAGGATATACAGGTTTCAGCCTATCCCATGCGGTTACCGATTCCGGGCAGTTCTAAACGTCGAAATTGCCGAATGCTTGAGCTCCCATTCACACTAAAATTGTTTTTTTTATATCATCCTGAGAACCAAAATATCCGTCAGTTACACTTGGAGTTACATTCGCGCTGAGTGCTGCTGACGTCTTTTCCATCGCATTTCCGAACTTCTCAGAAGGTTTCGTTGTGTTTCACAAGTACGGGTTAAGAGTGATTGGCATAGGTTAACTAATCGAAGCACATGAAGTTATTTATCGGTCTACTGTCGGCTATTTTTTCAGCACCCGATTTTGGAGGTGGATGCAAATATTGCAGCTCAGTGAGACCTACCGATGTCAAAAAGACACGAGACTCTGTTCCGTGTTATGCAGATGTTGGTCTCAGACGGATCACCCTCGCATTTTTGTTCGTCTAAACGGTACAAATCCAGACCTTTTAGTGTCTTTTGTCTCGTGCTTATCTACAAAGCCGTCCCGAGAACCTGCTGGCAAAATCCCCAGTGTTGCAATTTCTCTCTCTCCAGAAGCCACTAGCCGCGTATCACCTAGAAACACCCACATTTTTTTCTTTTCTTTTTAGACAATACCGTGTTGTCCCGGGATCCAAATATCTCGCTTATTTCGCATCAGATCGAAGACATATGCGACGACCAGATGGTGAGTGGATCGCACCGCCCCCATCGTACGATTGCATTCGAGGGAGCCAAGCCGACAGTCCACATACTTTACCCCACTACCTGAATATGAACACACGAATTCAGTCGGAAGCTTCATGTTATGGCCAAATACTTGACGAAGTGACTTTTTTTGCCCGGTTCAACTGACCTGATGACCTCATTTAGAATGTTTGTTGTTCATGTGTAGGTGATTCATAATACCAATCTACCGCTTACGGGTAAATGTACTTTGTGCAACAGACAATCACAACATATAACTTGACTCATTGTAATAACGGTTTTGATTTCACGCGCATCCATTCTCATTTAGTTTCCATTGGAATTCCAGTTCACAATCAGGTGATGTAACTCCATGGTCCATATGGTAATACAAGAGTAGATTAGTGCGCCAGCCACCACGATGAAATTCAAGCAATGTCTTTCTTCCCACGTAAGTTCCGCTGCGGTCGTTAGGATGGGTTCGACACGGTCTGGGCGGTGTGCCTGCAGCGAGATAAAAATACACAATGCCAAAAAGTCTGGTTAAAATAATAGACTATTGAGGGTATTGTGATGAGAGAGACATCGGACGTGACAGAAGGTCATCTTCACTCAGCTCGAGATGCCTCGATGGCTGTGGCGTAAGGCCGGCTTGGATCCACTCTTGGCATCTCGACTGTCTAGGCTTGGGCAATCAGGCTTGTAGCTCAGCCCTCGTGCCTCTTTCGGGTGATGTGGCAGTGGAACGATTTTTGTTGTGATATGAATGGGGTTTGGGTTCTCACAGTTTCAGTTACATGTGGAGAGTGTAGCTATGCTTTATAGTCAGTACCTGGCCAGTTGCTAGCACGTCTTTACTAGTCTACTGGGTTACGGTGACGTCCTTTTGTGGATCTGAACATTGTCTGGGGTTGATGGTGTTTTGATATGATAGTTGGTAATCTACTACACCATTTCCGGTAATGTCATTGACGAGTGGTTTGTTCTGTTCTTCACCCCTCTCCATCCAAGGAAACGGACACTGCCAATGCAATGCAATCACCGACTTTCGTACCAGACGATTGTTTTCGTATCGACTGTTTTCGAGTTTGTCTCAAAATTATGAGCATTAAGTCTCGTCTGCTACGAACTTCATTCCTGTGTTCAGCACGTCGACCAAGGCTAGCTCAGGCTAGTTGAGTAAACCTGGGGTTTTTACGATACGAGTGTTCAGTGCCTATTAAGTTCCTCAGCAGTTAATATCGCATACATAATATTGCCCGGAGACGAGTTTCGTCTAGTTGTATCACGTAATCAATGATCCTTACTCTCAACTGTCATCGTTGTCATGATCATCAGCGGTACATCGTTAATAAATACCGGTTGTTACCTATCATACAACCTTGTGGAAGAATGTCCTTGTGAATTGGAGTGAAGGACGAGAGCTTAGTACAAACTGCGTAACGTTCTTGTGGAAAGCGATGAAGAACAAGATGCCTACGTCTTGAAACAGTACTAGATAGATACACCTAGGCAACATGTCACTGTGACTAATCCAACATCGTTTGCGAATCTCCATCGTCAAGAAATCACCGTCAAAAGCCAGAAAATGTTTATCTGGGTAGTCAGATTTGGGCAACGTACTCACTGTTGGGGCCGATTAGTTGCTGCGGTTTCTAGTACCTCGCATAGTGGCTGTGATCTATTCCCAAACACCACTAATAACTTCCGAAGAGGCTGAGTTCGAACCCTCACATGATCAGTTTTGGCGTGTTTGTTTGATTCATGGTTAGGAAAGAGTTCCCACTACCGAACGGGATGTTAGCCTAGTAGACACCGCCGGACAGTTCAGTGGGAACCCACACCGGACTAGGTCACAGTGTGAATCAACTCATATTCCTGAATGTAAAGCACTGGTGGCTAACAGTTATGTGATCCGTTTGACATTATGGAGGCACTAGGTACTACAATGGCATCCGGCGTTTCTGAAAGCCACTTCTGGGAGCAACTGGTGGTCAACACAAAGTTCTAGGAGACAGTTACCACTATCTTGGGTCTAAACTAAACGTGGTTCAAGGAGGCCACAGCTCCTGAGCTGAGGGCTATGCCAGCACTGGCGCAATCTGAATTTGAGGAGTGTAGTCGGTAGCGTATGGACAGCGAAGATGCACAGTTAATGTACTTGTATTTGAGCCTCACAAATACAGCAAACGTCTAAAGATAATGCATTAACACCGGTAATTGCGTTAAAAATGGGATCTGATTGATCCAGTGGTCTGTCTGTAGCTGGACTTAGAGGGTTAAAAGAGATCAGTGAAAGTGTAGGGCTTTAGCAGCGACATATTTCCGCATCAAAGCTATCGCCTTCAATGCGTTGCTACCCAGTTCCCGAACTAACCGGATGTACCATCGCCTCCAAGGTTTGGCTGTATGTCCCACTCTTTCGCGTTTCCCACTGTAGCAGCTGGAACCAATGTGCATATGTTACACGGTTTATGGCTGATAAATTTATTTAAATTGAATTATCGGTCTTGCTGTATGCAGCTAATAAGGTGGTCCGACCGATGTTACCACGCTGCGGCCAGTATTGAATGGACATTTATTTGTTTGTGAAATCCACGTTTGCATATGGGCCTAGATAATAACGGGTTTTCAAAATTGAGACAGCAAGACGATTAATGTCCTCATTCGAAGCCCGACATCCGCTTTGGCTTGTGACTATCGCGGTGGCCTGACTTTTAAGGAACCATTTGCCCACGATCGTTGTAATGCGCAACCTGGATGGCCAAGAAACTGGCTATTAGACCTCTATCCGCCAAACATTTCGACAGAAGATACTTGGAATGTTGCATCTACGTTCTTCGGTAGAGCTCGATCCGTTGTTCAGGTGCGCAAACCGTCGCCGCGAAGTACCAGTACCTTTGCAACGGGGCTCTTATCCACTGAAACAAATGCATCAACCACTTCAAGGTTGGAATGGTTGAACATTCCTGGGCGGTTATTCGTCCGGTGTTCTACACCTCAATACGGAAGAAATTTAAAAGTTCAACCAGAAAATGAAAGTGATTAAGTGCTACGGTTAATTCACAGCATTCGGGTCAAAATCAGCTCCGACGAAAGTTATGCGACAAGATGGAAAACTTACTTTATCATGCTCTATCATTGCCTGGGCTATCGCGTGATTCACGACTGTGGAGAGGCGGGAATTAGTCCATGTGTTGCACAAAGTGGTTACACGACACCGTCTCCAAAATCTGAAAGTACCAACGCAGAAATCCAAGTCCCCCACAGTGCAGCGGGCAAATTTGCTCCTATAGCCAATCGCTGTGGTGCGACTCGTGCCCGCGTGTAGATCATCCATTTGTTTATACCGCATTCGTTCATTTGGCATGATGCAATCAGGATTGCATGTGGACCACGGGGACCACGACCCAAGGATGAGTTCGCCTCGCTTTTCCGAACAATGTGGACCAAGCCATCCCTCGGGACAGTTGCATTTTTTCTGGTAACACGAATCATTTTCTCCGCTCATCTCGAAAGTGTGAGTCTCGTCCAGTATAATAGTTGGTCCCGGAATAGTGACCGCAATTGGGGGTTGGAAACCGAGACACAGTGGTCGTGGACATATTGTCCGATTGTCCATACAGTTCGGGAATGAAAGTCGTTTATCCTCACGAAACGGCTCGCGACATAAGCAAGAGTACCGCAAAGATTGAGGTATGGGGAAACATGAGTTGTTCTTGTAGACCATACAGGCCTGATTTCCAGTTAAACTTGCTGCGGGATGGTGTTCCGTACAACCATTTTTCTTCTTCTCACAATTTTTATCTTCCATGTAGTCTGGATCGCATATACATGTGGCTTTGCCTCCACCTAGATCAATGCATTTTACCGTATGTTCTTTGTCACATTTATCACAGGCTGGCGGTTCTGGACATCTGGTTTGAATGACCCGACTTACGTTGTGAACGGTCTTATTTATCCATACCACAAAGTCAATTGGAAATAGGTCTTTTTGACATCGACACCGATAGTGAGCTCGATTAGTGATGGTTCCTACTTGGTCCATAGAAAGTGGGTTATCCGGTATACGATTGATAAAACAGTTCTCTGGAGCACCGCATTGTTGGATTTCTAGCGCTTCACACTGAGCGCGACTTCTGGCTAAATACGCCATAGGAGGAGTGTCTGAAGGTAGGACATCGTGAACTATATTCCAAAACTCGGAAAGATTGAGGTAGAGCATACTACCTCCAATATTTAGCCAAGGTCTTGCAAAGTTGTGCTCCAACTCCATGGTCTGACACCCACATAAAAATAGACCAACGACAACACCCAAAGTATAAACAATCGCACGCGCCATTTACCCGTTTCAATTAGTTTGGTTACCGTACTGTCAGAGGCACAGGACGGCGGAAAGTGTCATACTAGTTACCCATTTTTTCACGTGCGAATCGATATGACCCTGATTTTAAATTGCATGCTGGACTGAGAAGCGTATGTTCAGATGTTCATTTGGTCCCAACAGGTTGATCTCTACTTCGGGATGTATTCGAGTGGTTTGGTTGTGCATGAAGCGACTCACAACGGAACAGTTCTTGACACAGAAAAGACGTCTGGGAACTCTGTGTAGAAGATTATTGATTTGTTTGCTGAATTTGACAATTGTGCTGCAGACTTCTCATTACCAACTCAGGATACAGCGATGTGTGTTAACTCAGTATATCGTTCAGCTGTCAGGAAGAGTCACCAGGGCTGAGAAATTGACATGATACCCAGGCCTAGGCAGAAGCTTTTGAGATTTTGGGATCGGATTCGAGTAATGAACCTTCCGTCCACTAGTGTTGCGCCTTAACTACTGATCTATCTCCGCACATACATACGTCTTGCTTTTTACAAAGTTCACAAAGTTCAGCTTTCGTTAGTTCACTAGTTAGATTGCAAACGAGAGGATCTCGTTGTTGTTTCACCAGGTGACATTCGTATAAGGAATCCGAGAGCAAAACGAGCCTGAACATAGACCCGTTTGACCAAGCTTTCGGAGGTTTCGTGTCTCTGTACTGGTGCACGCTTTGATCTTAGAGTGCCTTTTCGGATCAGTTTAAAACTGGTTAACCCGGTTAAACATGTTTTTATCTTCCCATAATACGAACCTTATCGATCGGGTTTTAGAACTCGACAGGCAACCAAACAGTTTCAACTTATCCTCTTGTATTCTGTTGCCTGTGCATCTCACTCATACCATAGCTCATTTGAAAGTAACGTGAATTGACTATTGAGAAAATGGAACCCTTCTCAGATCTTACAGGAGGTCGACCAGTTGCTTCTAGTGTACTGTTCGATTAACTCGCCTGATTAGTTCCAGCTTTGCTTGACGTACTTCCGGTCAGCTCAACCAATAACTCACTTTTACACTAATCTTATTTGATGCTAATGATAGTAATAGATGGTAAAACGACGGGGCGTCATCATCACTTAAAACACTGAGTAAAGGCAACTGGATGCACTTCACTTTGAGAATTTCCAATGAATTGTCATGAATTCACGAATGGAAAAAATGTAAACAGTATGAAACTAATTCTTTCCTCAGGTTTGCTTCATTTGATCCAATAGATGCGCCGTTTCATAAGGATTCAACAAGATATGCTGCGTTCGTTTGCAAGGAAAGTTTCAAGCTTAAAACGCAAATAAACGATTACGAATAAAGTTAGGAGTATTGAGCACAATTTATTGAGCATGAAACAGGAAGTCGAGTGAGAGACGACATTGGCTGTCTGTTAAGGAAAAACTGGTTCAAATCACCAATGGGATGACCTGAATTTGTCACTGTAGGTAGTGTTCCACTCAGGGTGTGTGTGTATGTGGGAGGGGGGTCTGGAGTAAGCTGGACCATTGCAAAACCAACACGCGTATTTGCCGCGCAATCGGGCAAGGAATTTGCATTTGTTAATTTTCGTAGAAATCCGAGTTGAGCCGAGCTGGGCGATGGTTCTTGGATTTTCTCTCAGTCGTCTCTCTGTTTATTGATTGTGATTAATCTCCGTCGCCAGTGATTGAATATCCATTATGATGTTTCCAGGCGTACATAATTTCACACACGACAAACCCTTCCACAGTGAGATGTCTTCAGCCGGATCCGCATGGCTTTCGTGTGAACTTATTATCACAAACCCATTGGGGATTCGGACTTGTGACGCATCCGACCATAACTTGCGATAAACAAAGGTCGTGACTGAAAAGCCTGGGAACTGGTTATTCACTCCGAATTGCTTGTGGGTGATGGGACATAGTACCAGTTGGTCACCTGACTATCCATCTCGAGACAGTCATTGGTTAAGGTGCTAGATTACGGACCGGAAAGCCCGTGGTTTGCGCCTCCTACTCGACCGCCCCTGTCTAGGCTTGAGAGACGCGGCAATTGACACGGCAGCTAGGCACCGAAAGGACATTAGAGCCCATTGACATGATTTTCGAAAAAGTTTATCGCTCGGTGCCACCTCCGTATTATCGTATGTACTTGGAACCGTTAAGGTCTCACTATTGTCCATGGGATGCACACATTCTTGCTAACTTGGTCGTGTTTGGGCATCCTTCCACAGCAGTCTAGCTGGAGGCATGTCTGTGAGACCTCACATGAGCAACGGTTCTGCTTATCTGCTCTACGTGTCTGGTTGGCGTGCATCGGTGCAGTCAGAAAGCAAGCAAGCAGAGATCTGAATGTATCATTTAACTAATTCAGACAACATATTGGAGCGAGTGTACCGTGCCTCTACTTTGGAGGAAAACCCCCACATGCAAGCCGATTTTTTTTGGATCTAGTCTTTTTCGCCACTTGTTTTCCTTCGCTGTGTACATTTCGTGCGACACTAATTGACCATAAATCAGCCTATAAAAATGCTGCATACGACCAACTGTTTTCGTCAGAAAATTCCTCTGCATGGCTGGACCCGCCTCAGGCACCAGAGAAATCGTGCTTTTTAACTAGCTAGCTCGGATAGATCGACTTCGCTAGCTTCCCCTCGGGAGAGAATGGAGCTCATTTTTGTCTAGGACAATCGTCAAATCTTGCCAAACAGGTCAGGATAGATAGCGAAATTCATTCTTAACTGAGGTAACTTGATGATATCCTCTGTGTCTCATAAATTTCGAAAGAGAAAAACAACCAAGTAAATGGAAGAAATTGACAGCATGAGGAGATTACATTCATTCACGATTATAAATTTGTTTATTGTTCACCTTGTACCTTACCAGTGAGGACCTAGTTACTTGAGTAAATCAAATTGGCCAGTAACTGTCATCCACAAGATGGGATTGTAACGTCTCGATCATTTGGTGCTGGCAGACACAATATATAAATGAAACGAAAAACAGTTTTAATTTTCTTTTGTTCCCATTATTCGCCTCAAAGTTCGTGCTAAGCCCCCTGCAATAAATACGGGATGCAATATAATCATATTTGTCTTCATCCTCCCATGAGATTCTGAGTGGTCCCACAAATGCCCACAAAAACGGATTGTTCGGTCAAAATTTTTCCGGGAACTAGTGAACAAGTACAGTTCAATGGAGGTTTCATCCTGTCAGGCAGGCCAATCTATGTTGAAGAGTTCAGAAGCATTGTTGTACAGCTGTCTTATCCTTAATGGTAATCAACAGAGGTACGTGTATCACAAAATCCAGTAGGAAACCGCGGCCTTCTGGCTACTGTTTTGATCACAAACGGTGGACCACTAGCGGTCGATCAGCATCGTGATTGACTCGCACACAGACAGAATATGAGACATCACTGCTTAGTGGTTAGGGCACGAACTTCTTGGTCGGAAAGTCTGGGTTTCATACTCAGTCCCGGCATTTCGACTGCTCCTGTCAGGACTTGTGCGACGTGACAGAACCACAGTTGTAGAGCTTCCTTCGGGTGGCATAGATATGCACTAGAAGGGTGTTGCAGCTGAATGGTCATCATCAATGGCACCATCATCATCATCATGTTGACAATTCATTGATTCTCATAAGTACCACGACAAAGACAGTGGATCCCGGTCTCGTAACGAGCCATCCATATCTAATTGGTAACCGGTTTACAGTAAATGCTTGGCCACAGATGGAGCAGCACCACGCTTTGACCTTCGGCCCTGCAGAAGATAACTGCGCCAGTTCTCGAAAAACAAATTGTCGCGTGTTCACCTAGGTATTCTGAAGGACGCCGGTTCGTCCTATTGATGTGGGCATCCCTTAAAACTCCTCAGAAACCGGAAAAATTATGTGGATGGTACAGGAAGGTCTACATCAAGCAGACAATGCCTGGAGTTTTACAGCTCTGCACCAATAACGTGTGAGGGCTAGTTAAAGCCCAGTCCTGGATGACCAGTTGAAGTTGTAGTGTAGGCATGTGGAAAGAGAAAGAGGCGTTTATGGGGGAGATGCTGATTGCTGACGGCTTCATTGATATGTATAATTCTGTTCCTCCTGTAAGAACCACGGTACAGGAGGTCGTTTCTGCAGTTCAGAGGCGAAAGCTTGGAAAATGAAATGAGGGGAGAGTTGAATTCTACCCGAGAAATGAGTTAACATCACAGGATAATTGGACCCAATCCAAACTACTCGAGGGACTGTTGTTCTAAAGCGTGATCACATTTTGCCGCGATCACATTTTTATGCCACCACGTAATTTGCCGGTGTTCTTGTAGTTTGGGGAGATATCACTCATATCTCACACATACCACGCTATTTTGTTGAAGAAACCTATCGACACGTTCGCTGAAGGCTCTCCGACCACATTTTGTTCTTTGGGCATTAGCGCTGTGGTCTCCCGAAAGCCGAAGGTCATGCCGTGGTCCCGCTTCGTCTGTGACCAAGCATTTACTGAAAAACCGATCACCAAGTAGATCTGAAAGGTTTGTCCCGAGTGCTTTTACGAAACTAGAATTCATTGTCGATCACCGAGGCTACCATGGCTTCTTGGTGGACTTGTCACTGGCTGTCAGTCCAACTTTGTTATTCAACCCGGATGACGTACGACATACACGTTTTAAGTCCGTCCGTCGATGAGAGCAAATGAACCAATAATATGCGGCGAGTTACGGAGCCTTCAAAACTCCAGATAACTGCATGTGGTCCTTCGGTAGCAAGCAGGCAAATCCTTACCCATGTGATTTTTTAAAATCCAGCTTCTGAGCTAAAAAGCACACTCCGCTGTCCTAACCCATAAATACACACAAGCTTGCACAAACGAGAGTACAATATTGTGCTTCAATATGAGACCTGCAAGGGTTCCAAAGTATTTTCTCGTTAAAACGTGATTCTTATGGCAGGTGATCTGCTTTTCTGCTGAGTATTCACCAGTGTAATAGTATCGGCCACCTGACGATCTATGTATTGGCTGTGGATAGTTTCCCAGGCTCAACATCAGTGAGGAGAGAAAGGAGTAAGGATCAACTAAACAGTGCCTACACCTCCCGGCGCTCATTCGGATAATCCAGATAGAAATGAATGGCAAGAACACCAGTGATGTCGATGAATAACCATATCTTGCAGTGTTCCCAACCGGGCACGGCGGGGTAACTCGTCCCCCGACCCGGAAGACGAGTCCAAACCACAAGTCAAAATCTGGTCGCAGCTCTGCTTGTTGCACTCTGAGATGGGTACGGAGTACAGCATTTTCTTGGGCAAACGATAGCTTGGCACGCACAGTACTTGACTTAACCACCACCGGTTTTAGTGCTGCATAGACTATTCGACTGAAGCCTCCGTTGCATAACCGAACACTTATTCTGATTGTCTCGTTACGGAATAGTCGGCACCAGTCTACGGCAAGAGCTATGCTGTTGAGACAACGGATGTCACAGACCTGAAGACATCTCAGTCCGGCTGTTGCCAGGGGGCATGTCTCGCAGCCATACAACAAAACAACCCATATTACAACCTGATACATAAGTTCCAAGGGATCTGGCCGGTCCCTTTGGACAGTTTTAATAAAGTGGGAAAATATTCCATGGGGTTTCTGAAAACCACATAATGACGGCTTGAATTGTGCAGTTCATAAGGAGTTCTGACGAACTTGGTACTATTACTATCCCTGCTCTTAGTTGAGTCACTTCGTGAATCACCCCAAATAAGGGCTTCCGAAAAAAACTGATCCTTCAAATGCGCGAAACGAAGTGAAGGGTATGAAAACAAAGAAAAGTTGCTTTTCTTTTTGGTGCTTGCAAACAAATTGTGAGCAGCAAATAACATACCTCTGACAAGTAAGCGAGAGTGAAAATCCAACTAAAAGCGAGAGTTGGTTGGTGATCAGCATTCAGGTGATCAGAGACAGAGTGAAATGTGAAACCATAATGAGAAGAGTTGTGTGTCACTGGAAAGGGCAGCAATTAGCATCGAATGGGTCCATCACACTGAGTGGATCTACAGAGGAATCTTCGTTCGAATTCCGCCTCTGGCCCTTGAACAGATGCTTTGTATCTTCAAAAACAGATACTGGACGGACAACGCCACACTGAGAGCAGAATTTGGCCGTTTTTGCGACGTATCTGGTCCCACATTCATGACAATAGCTCAGGGGGGCATGACTGTGTTTGGTCACCGCAGTTTCGGGGCTATCTTTCATTTCTTCGATATCGCCGTCTATTTCATCCACCAAAGCATCTGGGGAGGATAGCAAACTTTTTATCGGAAGGTCGCTTATTGTATTGCCTTGTTGACGAGGACGATGGAGCATTGCTTTGGTGAGAACCAGAGCTGTGGGAATTCCAGGCAAGTACGTTTGTAGCACCGAGTTGTGGGTCCTGTAGAATAAAACAAAACAAGAGTTGTGCTTGTTTGTTGGTAAATATTACCCTTATCGGTTGTTGATCAGGTGGCCGTTGATCTGTTGATCAAGGTTGGCAACTGAATTGCAAATGTTTTGTCACCATACGAGGAGTGCGTAGTTGGGTGGGAACCACCCAAATGCTCAATGATGATGTCTCCTGTCCCACCTGACCGACAATCGATAAACTCACCCGAGTTACCACTATTTAGACAAATGTCACCCTTAGTATAATCCATGTTGACTAAATGAAGTTAGACAGATATTTGTTAAAGAATTATTGTATCGCATTGTAAGGAATTTCGAATAATAAATTACCGATTCGGACCTTGACTCTCTTCTGTGCTTATATATAATTTTTACCAAACATGGCCGATGTGTACGTGAGTCGCATATAACCTTTTATTTCAATGATATGAATTCCACTGCATCAATCAGCCGATCGCTTTTAGCTTTTTTTCATTCAGTTTTTTTCATTCTCAGTTGCATGATGTAAAGGTTGGTCAGGTCTTTGGAAGCAAATTCAAAATCTGAAGGTGTAGTGTATGCAAAAGAACTGGCTGAAAAAAAGGCTCCAAATGTTCTATTGAAATGCTATATTACAATATTTCTTATACCCTTTTCCTAGTACAAACTTCAAAAGAGGACGATGTCAAAATCCCCAAAACAATCCCGACCCTTTCAGCATTGCAAGGATAGAGTAGTCGCCTCGAGGGGTAACTGGCTGAGTATGGTCGAGAGTAGACTAAATCTGCTTAGTTTCCTTGTTGCCTACGGAGTTCATCGCAGGAACCAAAACTGGATCGCGATATGTGTAGATCCTGCAGCTGAGCAGCGTGTATCTGAGATATTTCTGGAGTCGACGGATCCTCTCTCAGGAGATGGTTGACCCAAAGTAAATATTAAAGCGGTTTTTAGGTGAGGAAAACGGATTTCCCGATATAATCGGTGTCCGTTTTGATTCGCGATGTGCAATGTTACTTTTATGACAGTTCAATGCTGCATTTCGCCTCTCCCGAAGAGTACTGCATCTATCGGGAGCTCCTTTGGCTGTAAATCCATTAATTTTCAAGTATCATTAGCCACTCATTTGGAAAGATAACAACGATAACCAGCAAGTCTGTCAGAGCAAGCGGTATGATTTCCATTTTCTTGATGGGACCATCCTTTTTCTAGGTTCCAAGGATTTGTTCCGTCTTCAATCATCCTAATTGGGATAGACACACATGTTGCACCGGGGTCATTGACCCCAATAATATATTTCGGTGGGACCAAAAGTTGGTTTTTCTTGCGAGTTGTTGAATAGCTACGACTCCAACTTATAGATGTCTTGCGTACTGTACCACAAGCCTTGAGGAACAAATCTTGTGTCGACAAAACGTCAAAATATGAAAAATCCTTTTATCCCTAAAGTTCTACTTCCGATTCAAACATCCGTATTGGGATGAGTGTAATGAGAAGGGCCGTGAAGTGGGTTTCAAAAACACCACAGCTATCGTTCAATTCAGTTTATCAGCTTTAAACCATTTACCAAGGTTCCAACTGCCACAGTTTCAGCCATCGGAAAGTGGGGGAGCACGGGAGGTTTGGCCTACCATTGATCGGTTGGTTCGGGAAACTGAACGCCTACGCAGTGAAGACGATAGATTGGATGCATGAGCACCACTGATTGAGTGAATGAGCCATGCCTACCAGTGCCATCAACCATTGGTGACTTGAGTCCCGGATCCCAATCCAGGGAAGCGGCAGATTTCTGCCCAAGTTTGTTGGTTCATCTTTATACTTCGATGCCAGGTCATACACTGTACACCTCTTGGTCACCCTCCACTCACCACAGGGATGGGCCAAAAACAGCTCTGCTAGGCAGACGATCCTCTGGCTTGTACAGTTCATGCCCTAACCAGCACGACTTATGAAGAGTGTGTAATTAATCCATCGTTGGAGAGGTCCTTTTTCCAAAACCATCTGGCGCACATCGACAGTCCTTATACGCTGTTCCCTCCAGACCTGACTAGTGATTCGAGGATATTAGTGGTCAAACACTTAAGCTGTGCGTGGAGACTACGTTTCTTATTCACAAGGCAGCAGCACCACAGTGGATATTCTATCCTAGAAGGGGAAGCTGATGTCATTCTGGCGTCATAGGTGTCGAAAATTTGAAAAAGCTGACCTGGCCTTCCCGATTTGAGAGATAACCTTGTTTCCAGCCAGTCCATCTGAAGTTATACAACTACCCATGTAAACAACTTTACCTATCACGTCCTTTGGCTCGCCTTCATGCTCGAACTTCGGTTTGACCTCACCCAGTTTTGCAGTGGTAGTTTACACTTTGTAGGTGTGAAGCGCATACGAAACTGCACAGCGGAAATAGTAAGATTATTTAAAATGGCTTGCATCTTTGGAGGATCTGAACCAAGGACGGAAATAGCGTCCGCATACTCAAAGTCCATGAATGAACGTCCCGGAAGCATCTGTACCCCTCCGAGGTTTCAGAGACAGGGGAATTTCAACCAGCACATCAACAACAAAGTTAGACAGAAATGGTGAGAGAGGGTGGTCTTGTCTAACACCAATGGGCGTGGTGAATCCAGGCAAAGGTCAGGTACTGTCAAGGTTTCTGACGATCGACAAAATCAAAACCAGCTTTTAAATCAGGAAAAACAACCAACCTGGGACGTCTGAAGAAGTGACAATGTTCAAGAAAGTAAAGATATGTAGATGCATCCTCGACCAGGGCGGAACCCAGCTTGATTCTCACGAGTCTGTCTTTCCTGATAATTGACTGAACTGCATAACCCGATGCCAGAGAACACTTTAGATGAGACGCACACCAGACTGATGCCACGATGATTCTCATGGGATATTCTTGTGCCTTTTTTGAAGACTAGAACGACGGTCGAGAGCTATCTTGCCTCATACCAATGAACGTGGTGAACTCAGGCTAAAGCTTGGTATATACTCGTAAACGCCCAAAGAAGTTCGAACACAATACCTTCATAAGGCATGCAGATTTGCTCGCCAGCTATTACCACAGTTTCGGACGATCGACAAATTCAAATGCGGCATTCAGATCAGGATAAACGAACAACATTCGGAAGACTGGCGCTGTCCAAGAATCGGTCACGATGTGAAAGTGTGATCAATACATCTTCTGCCAGGACAAAGTCCAGCTTTATTCCTACACATGTGTCTCTCTCCCGATATTGTGCGAAAATAATGTCAGACAGCACCTTGGATACGATGGCTACCGGGTTGGTATCACGTTGGTTTGGCATGATACTCTTGCGCTCTACTTGAAGGTTCGGATCAGCGCAGCCATTGGGCACTGGCTAGTCCCCTTTTGAGAGACGGTCACTGACAGGGCTTTTGATGTCCATTGGAAACGACAACCAAACATCGCCCTGGATACAGGCATTAAAACAAGTTTAAATTTTTCAGAATCTAGGGGCACACTGTGGAGGACGTCAAGCAGCTGAGTCGCAACCAAATGAGTGAGTTGTGCGTTACCCAGCCTAGTTCTCCGCGTTGATACGATTTTGCTCATTAATTTATCCAGTTATTTATTTTTTGTCTACCAAAATAGACTAGTAGTGTAATCCAAACTTCTCAGGGGGAATCGGGACCAGGTTGGTCAATCTTTCTTCTATTTATGGGGTTATTCTTTTAAAGAACTATAGAGCCTTTTCAGTCCGAAGTGGCTTGCCTCGAAACGATTTTTCCCATACAATTGCGTCTGTCGGTAGAGTGACCTACCGTAGTCTCCTATCTAATCTTCGGCTATTTGGTCCTAGCAAGTGCCCTTGCTTGTTTGTTCGATAACACATTTTTCACTGAACGGTTTCTCATAGGACTTTCAGATTCTTGATGTTGTGCAATCAGACTCACCGACTGTTGACTTCACTGTTTGAACCACTTCGGTCCTGAGTTTGTAATTCCCCCGTGGGCGTTGTTACTGTTTTGCTGAACTGTGAGACAAATCTTGCACCTCTTAAAATGGATGGTTTGGGTACAGGACAACGTGGTACTGCTGGAGTTGCTTTGCTTCCCTCTAAGTGTGTGCGGGGATCCCCGGACAGTTTAATAGTATGCGTGGGTTCCGCGGTTTCTTTGGGTTTCTTGCTTGTCATCTGTCAAGGAGTGATGAAGAGATACTTTTGTGTGACCTATCACACGAATCATCAGATTATCTGCCTGTTTGTGGGGCAGGTTAAATTTGACGGAAATGATCTGTTTATGTTGCTTCCTAGTCGACGAGCCAAAGAACAAAGTGACCAAAGTGAATTTAATCAGATCCGGCATTCTTTAGAGCACTCAGTATAAGAAACCAAATCTTATTAGATTCTACTAACTGCGAGCCTTTGATCGAAAGGCATTTTTATGAAATGGTGCATAAAACATAATATTTTAACCAGATGTCGAACGGTTGTGCTGATTTGGCAAACAGACGGTTTTCAGACACTCACACCAATCAGCCGTCGGGTTTCGCTGAACAGAAGCTACAGTTCAGGTTGGTATTTAGACAGTGTCGTTGAACACCCACCAGCCACTTTCTCCTCGGCTTTTGATGGTAGGCAGCAGACGCCACAAAGACGTGAAGCATGCTGTCGAATCTGCCGGTACTACTGTGAAGGATTTCTGGCTTCTTTGTAGGACGTAACCTGATGATCGAATAGGACCCGATCATCCTACACTAGAGCTCAACTACATGTTTCACGTCATCTATCCCGGCTTGTTCTCTTGAGCAGTTGGGTTATTTGCGGATGTCCAAAAGTCAAAAAATGAAATTCACTCTCTAAGCAAGCAAAGCTTCCTATGAATTGTAACTTTCTTCTTGTAACCTGTAAGACTCCAGCGAGTGACTTTAGACTCTTGCTACTGTAAGCTTGCCTTCTCTTATGCTACTGCAGGTACAGTAATACAATCCCACTAGTAAAAAAATGGTAGTTTCTTGCCGTTTTTCTAGGCTAAGGATAGCATGCCCTCTTTTTGTCTGACGGGAAATGCATCTGTTGGGTTTTCATGGCAAACATTCTCCTCATATAGCTTTCTTGTGAATTGGTGCATCTGCATACGAGGTCTGTTTTGTTTACAAATTGCAGGTCTGCATCGCAAAGCAGTTTTGGACTTGATACTGACGGTGTTCTTCGCTCATAATTAATGGAGCACAAGTACGCCTATTTTAACTGAAGATAGGAATGACTTGTAAAAAACTTTTCAACCTTACTGAGCTGGCGTTAACAACGAAGCATGGCATGCTTGGAGAGGCCGATCGTTTTTCTGTATGTCCTACGTCAGGAGGCTAGGTCTGCGACTGATGGAATAGTATGAACCTCACCGTAGCAATGTATGCATAGAACTTGGCAGCCAGTAGTGCCGACTTCATCAGTCGACCTGGCATTTCCTATTTCAGAAGCGATTTTTATTTTTCTTAAGCCTGCTGCAGGCCTCTGCATTGACGGGTCTACCAGCCATACAATTTGTCTGGTCTGATTTCCGGTTTGGTACATTCCGGCCTAGTAACATCGATTTGCACACTGCAGTTGTGATGCGTGTGTGAACAGGGTGGCTAGTGATTTGGGATCGGCTTTCGCGTAATCTCAAAGAGGGTTTCACGTGCAACACTCTGCTTAGTTTACGTCTGTGCTATGAAATCTCGTGGTGATTTTTCCCTTTCAAGTGGCAGATTCAGACGAGGATTATGGTTACATGCTGGATACAGGTTGGAACATATGTGATCCCCTGAACCTCCATAGTCAATGAAGTGTTTTGCTTTTGCTATCCAACCCTTTTCTACACACTGATGTGAGCAGTCACTGTTATTTATTGGGAGGGATGGAGTCACTTCAGGGTGGACAGGTGATAACTACATTCCCATCCAGGTGGCACATCAGTGTTTCTTCAAGAATCTGACAAACTTAGCACTGACTCCATACAAGCTAGATGGTATTTGAGTACATTTCTGCATTGATCAAACAAAATAAAAATTTTACACAGCATAAATTTCGTTGGCGATATATTGCAACTCACACTGCTTTTTTTAAAGATTATCGGTGAATCCTTTCGGTCATTTGGCAGAGGTTCAGCAACCTGTTGTACCATCTCGACGCCCGGGCTGACAGTGGATGGGCTCTTCAAACTTGGTATTCGAACAACGTGTGCAACAAGAAGTTCTGCTGTTTGGTTAACCGGACAACAGGCAGACTGGAAAGCACAATCACCTTCGACTCCAACGCGAAATGTCGACTCAGAGTGTTTCTGTTTGTCTCCAGTAAGGTCAGAATATTTACTGCTCTGTTCGGAGTGTGACTGACATCGCTTATGGGCTTGACCAACTGGATGTAACCTACCGTATCGTTTAGAGCAGCGATAATGATGGTGGTGACGTTGCGCTGCTGCCCCTGAGCCGTTATCGTGTGTTGAACAGTGACTTACGGAATGGGATGCTTTGGGCGCTGCATTTGTGAGTACTTGTTCCCCGCAGCCAACAGGAAACGCACCCGATGGCAACTTCTCCGGGGTTGATGTTGGGATCAACGAACGCTTCGAAACATCCGAATGTGCAATGTTTATTTCGGCGTTCTTGTGAGTTGTGAACGATGTTAAATAATCTCGCTTCCCTGCTGTTTGCGATTCTGCATCAGATAACGTAGTTTTTGCAAGAATCTGCTTGATGGGAAAGTCGTTTGCCAAGACACTACATTTTTCACCTGGTTGAAATCGGCCTTCCGCAAACGAGGATACCGTTGGAGACCATGGACATCGGGCCAAACTCACTGTCGAAGCAATTGTTTTGGACCTATCTTGCCTCGTCGGTTCATTGTCGGAGAATTTGAGAAGGGAGACCGTGGACAGTGAAGAAGTCTGTGAAGGCGATGAGTAGTGCGGCAAACTGTCTGCATCTTGCGCCGGAGTTGGTTTCAGAGTATAGTCTTGCGGAACGGTAAGCAATTTGTTTGAATCCCACGAGTCTTCCAACCCACTGCTGACTGTAGATGTATCAGGTCGGTCTGAGTTAGGGTGGGATGGAATGGCGGATAGAGAAAACCATTCCAAATACAGAAGTTATTTCGTGAAGCTGTACCCGGTACTTCGGTTTAGAACATTGATTTGGTAACCAGCATCAAGCACATTCAAAGGATACCCTGATATAATTTTTCTCTTCGTACATGAACTCTCACAATTCGCAATAAAAAATCTCTTCTCAACAGATTGTTGGTACTTTTTGAGGCGTTGTGAAGCACACCAAATATTCAACCTAGGTTGTTTTGTATAGAGATAGCACCTTATATTTTGAGTGAATGATCGCAGAGTAGGTGTCATTGTTGGAGATGTTCAAAATATTTGAAAGAAAATTGATAGAAGCTCACTCTGGTTTATTCTCTCTAATACAGTTCACTTTGTCGCTTTTTTATGCTAATGTCAAATAGTATCACTGATTAGGACAGAATGTCTTGCGACGAATCTTAGGTGCCGTTTACATTTATGAGGGAGAAGCTTTCGGAAGTTTGAAGGCGGTTGAGAGTTTTCACCAGACCTCCGAACATATATTACCAATACACGATATATAACTGCATACAAATTCACATATCTCGTACAGCTACACTGTTATGTATACGCTTACGCATTTATAAATACACATTCAAAGATAGAAGTGGCGAATTAAGGTGAAAAATCACACCTGTAGAGACAGCAAGAAGGTGCATTACTAATTGAGAGTGCAATTTTGTCAGTCCTCAGTGGTGCACGTTGTTGTAGAAAGCACCATTTGATTTGTATTTTTTTTCTGAGGCGCACTTCCTTACTCTTACTACCCTCTATGTGTTTTTACAGCTCTTTTGAGTTTTGTTCTTAAGCGATTTTGGTGGTATCTATTTTGTCTGATGTCCCTTTTTCCCTGCGATAACTTTTGTTTAGTTTGTGACTGGTTAGAGAAGCGTAAAACCATTTGCTCACGCTGTCAAAATTGAAAAAATGAACCGCGATGCAGATAGGGATTATAATGACACAGGTTGATGATGATGATGAGGATAATGGTGATGATGATGGTAGTGATGATGATGATGGTGATGATGATGATGATGATGATGATGATGATGATGATGATGATGATGATGATGATGATGATGGTAATGGCGGTGATGATGACGGCGATACTGATCATGGGGATGGGAATGACGACAGTGAAGACAGTAATGGTGATGATGATGGTGACGTCGATGACGATTAGGGCGATAATAATGATGAGGTACTGGTCATCGTCGTAATGCTGCCGATGTCCTCGGTGACCATAATGATGGTGCGGATGATCAGAAGGATGTACTTCTTACGATTACCTAATGTAGGCGCATCACGCGAACTAAAATGAGGAGTCATCTGTCACGTCAGTCTTTTTGGTCGACATCTGGATTTCTCCTAACGAACATCCTCAGTATGTCACCTCAAACACACTACTTGGTATTTTCAGAGGCAAATCAATCGATGCTCTCGACAGTCGCATTTCCGTAACAGCCGCCAGTAGTACGAAGTCACCTTATTTTGATTAGTTCTTAGTCAGCTGGCTTGAGCCTAAGCATTGGTTAAGGTGTTAAACTACTGATCGGAGGGGTTTTGGTTTGAGCCCGACCCCTGAATCTTGACTGCTCCGGTCTAGGATTGGGCAACTTGGCAACATCCCAGCCTTCGTGTTCCCTTCCAGCAGCATGATCTTTAGGCACCAAAAGAATGTTATAGCCGAGCGAGCTGATTTGTGCATTACTCTGAGAATTTTGAAGCATATGTCTACGCGTAAGCAGCAACTGGGAGAGTGTGGATCAAAAACAGCTTCTGAAAAGAAACCAGTTACCTTTCAACTTTTTAGCTTGTTGTGACATATCCGTCGGGTTATAAACCAGCAAGTGGTTGCAGTTGCTGAGTTGTTCCACCGCGTTCCATGACAAACTTTCTACCAAAGGTTTAACGACGTCCTTGTCCATAACTCCTTTTTGGCATGAATAGTTCTCCATAGACAGTTCATTCAAAGTGACGGAAGACGTGGGGGTGGGATAGTTGGACAGATGAGATAGCGCACTGGAATATACCATTTCTTCTGTAGAATCTGTAGCGTTCACTTGTGTTCGGTTTCCTCGTTGTAGTGTCGGTTTATACTGAAAGTGAAAAATTCTACGTGGTTTATGAGTTGGAGCCTATACCATTCATGATGCACATCATTGACGGGACAGCCCAAAGACAAGCTCAATGAAGGCGAAGCCAAGAGATTTCTTAAACTCGAAATCGGAAATCGGGTTACGAGTTGGTACTATATCCAGTCATAAATGTCATCAAATTTTCAAGGGATTACACCTCTTTGATGCATTTGAATAGCACAGAATAATATCTAGATTAAAAGGCTTTCCATGGGGAAAAGTGGCTGCCGAGTTTGAGAGAACTTCTTTGGGTAGACCGATTCACATTGTCGTGGATCTGCACTCCCACCAGTGAGTGGTGACCGACAGACAAAACCACGGCTTTGAAGCAGCGAACCACAAAAGCTACCTGTTGGATAGTGGAGCCTCACCAGGCAAGACATTGGATGGCCTATCATCTGCATACTTGTGTTGGGCTGCCACTGTTGTACAACCTTTTCCTACCCATAAACTAATTTAGT